TTGGGTCACACGTGGCAGTACTCAGAGGTGACTCCTGGTGATGCATTCAAGAATCACTCTTGGTGGTGTTTGGGGAACCATATGGGATGCTGGGGATCGACACTAGTCGGGTGCATGCAGGACAGGTGCCTGACCATCTCTCCAGCCCCTAAATATAAAAAACTAAAAAAAAATGTTTTTTGGTACATTGGCAGTATGATTCTAGAATAAATCCTTTTAACTTAAAGACCAAAAAAAAAAAAAAAAAAGAAAGAAGAGGAGAAACCCAAGGAAAGGAAATTATTAACAAGTAATTCAAGCAAGCTGTCCTAAGAGAAGGACGAGAGTCCATTCTGAGAGTTACAAAGGGTCTGAGACAAAGCACGGATCACCTGCAAGTACTGTCAGAATTCACAGGAACGGAGGTAGAAGGGAAAATCCCACACACAGGGCCAGGGAAGTAGCTTGGTGAGAGAGCACAAGGCCTTGTAGGTGTGAGGCCCTGGGTTTGATCCCGAGATACAGAAAGGAAAAATAAAACATGGCTCAGAGAACAGGAGGGATGTAGAAGTCCTGGGGTTGGATTCCCAACACTGTATGTTCCCTGGAATAGCACTACTTGCAGCTCAAAAAAGAGCCAAAACCAAAGCCACGCCCTCAAACCAAGACATCAAAGGATGCAAGTGTCCAGACTGGCTTCAGCTTTGGGGGTGGGCAAGGAGGATGGTGGTGGTCCTGGAAATGGCATCCAGCGGCTTACACATGCAAGTCCTCTGCCATACCTTCCACTTCATAACAGCTTTAGAATCCTATACAGCAACACTTGTTCTAGATTAAAAAAAAAAAAAAGTATCAATGTCTTCAAAACTAGAATGCCAGGCACCAAATGGAAATGGTCAGGGGTCACTCCTGAACAGAACCAGGAACAGCCCCTGAATACTGCTGGGTATGGCTCCCCAAAAACAAACAAAAAGGCGGAGATTATCCACAGTGATTAGGAATCACTCCTGGAGGTGCCTGGGGGACCACATGCAGGGCCAGGGACAGAACCACAGTCAGCCACCTTAATCCATGTACTATCACTCCACCCCCAAGTTGAGGTTATCTTCCTTTTTGGTTTTCGGCTGTGCTCAGGATTTATTACGCACAGGAATCAGTCTGCTAGGGGGGAACCCTTATGTTGTGTCAGGGAACAAACCCAAGTCAGCTGCATGCAAGACAAGTGCTCTACCCACTGTACTACCTCTACCTAACCCTGAGACTATTTTAAGCAGGGAAGAAGCCAGGGCAGGAGGGCTGCTTCTCTTCACAGTAAGCTCTGCAGAACTATGTCCTTCCTATGCTTATAATTGCACTCCCTCTGGAAATCTGAGATTAAAAAACTGTGACACTATTTTAGGTTTACTTTTTTGGTCATTTCTGGGCCACACCTCTTTGTGCTCAGGGCTTTCTCCTGGTTGTGCTCAAGGATCTTTCCTGGCAAGGCTTCGGGAACCATCTGGGATGTCAGGGATAAAACCTGGGTCAGGCTCTTCCATGAATGGCCTTTAGTGGTCCCGAGATGGTGAGCTACTTGCTGGACCCTGAGAACCTGACGAAATCATGCAAATCCAGGGGCTCAAACCTTCGTGTTCACTTCAAGAACTCGGCAAACTGCCCAGCCATCAAGGGTATGATCACTAAATATTTGAAGGATGTCACTCTGCAGAAGCAGCGTGTGCCCTTCCGGTGTTACAGGATGTTGGTAGGTGGGCCCAGGCCAAACAGTGGGGCCGGACACAGGGTTGTTGGCCCCAAATGCGAAAAGTAATGCTCTAACCTAAGGATTTAGATGTAGATTCTCTGGTCCTTGAGCATATCCAGGTGAACAAAGCACCAAGATGTGCTGCAGATCTTACAGGCTCATGGGCGAATGAGCCCCTATCTGAGCTCTCCTGCCACACTGAGATGATCCTTACTGAAAAAGAGCAGATTGTTCTTAAGCCTGAAGAGCAAGTTCCATAGAAGATGTCACAGAAGAAGCTGAAATGGCCTGGGAATAAACTAAGCATATAAGCTGGGGGGGTGGGGGGGAACAACCAAACCAGAAAACCACCTTGGGGCAGCTATGTGCAAGGCAAGCAGCTTATCTGTTGTACTCTTTTTGACCCCCAAAGAACTCTTCCTTTTCTTCATAGAACATTTCACTTTCACTGTGAACTTTAGAAGCAAAACCATTAAAAGAACCTCCTTCAGTGTTCAGGATCACTATAGGGAGTAGCTGATTTTCACTGAGTAACTGAATTGTGCAAATCTGTAGTGAGCTTTTCAGATCGAGGAGGCAATCGCTACTATTATGTTCTCTATTATTTGAAGCATTTACTGTAGTTTATTATTAAAATAATAAACTCTAGTAAGGATTCACAGTATGACTGCCTTCTATTTTGGGAAGGGGGACTGACTAGAAGAGGGAAGGTCTGGACCACACTCAGCAGTGCTCCGCAATAACCCTTGGAGGTGCTTGGGGAGGCCATATGTGGTGCTGAGAATAGAAGCCAGATGGTTGCATGCAAACCAAGTGCCTTACCTCTTGTATCTGTCCCTGGCTGCCTTAATCCAGCTGAGTCAGAATCACCTACGTATATGCCAATAAGGGCATAACCTCATTTAAAAGTACAAATTCTGAGCCTGGCAGAGTTCAAAGGGTTGGAGTGCTCTGATGCTTGGGCCCAGGCTCAATCCTCTGCCCTGCATATTTATACTCCCAAAACTCTGTTGGGAGAGACCCGTGTTATCAAGCCAAGAAGTAGACCCAGAGAACCACTGGGTGTGGGCCAAGAACCAAAACCACAGCGCAAAACAAAACAGAAGAGTTGGGGGACCATGTGGGCTGTCAGGGATTGAAGCTGGGTCAGCTGTATGCAAGGCTAGTGCTCTACCACTATAATTTCTGGCCTCAGATTTTGTTTTTAAGATCCCTAGGGGATGGTGAAAACTACTCCTTCGTTTTATAGTTCAGCAGATTTCATTAATATCTTCAATGAATCAGTTTCTATAATCAAGGTCACCAGTAGAAGACTAACTCATGGTGTTTGTGATCAGCCCATCTATCTGAAAGAGTATCGTTTTCAAGGACATTTAATATGGACCAGTCTCTTTTCGTACCAGACAAAATAAAGTCACTGTTAAATCTCACCTTGTACTATGTCTTCAGCCCAATAAGGGTTGCTCTTGAGGATGGTCTCTAAAGCCTTACCACTTGTGCCTGTACCACCAACCCCCAAATACATCTTTCTTAATTTTAAAATTTTGGGGGGAGGAGGGTGGAGGAGTTTGGGGCCATATAGGGTGATGCTCAGGAGTGAACCCTGGCAGTGCTTAGGGTTCACTGAGTGCTGTGATAAGCTGTGCTGGACAGTAAACTGGGGTCTGCAACATGAACGGCAAGTGTCTTCTACTTGACTTTCTCCAGCCCTAACAGTTATTACAGAAATAATTTTAAGATGTTACCTTAGAGCGGGCTGGAGTGATAGCACAGTAGGTAGGACGTTCGCCTTGCATGTGGCTGACCCGGGTTCAATTTCTCTGTCCCTCTTGGAGAGCCCGGCAAGCTATCGAAAGTATTCCGCCCGCATGGCAGAGCCTGGCAAGCTCCCTGTGGCATATTCGATAGGCCAAAACAAAACCAAACCAGTAACACGTAGCCCCACAATGGAGACGTTACTGGTGCCCACTCCAGCAAATTGATGAACAATAGGAAGACAGTGCTACCTTAGAGCAGTGTTAAGTATAAAACAAAGCTTCTTTGGAAGCTTAGGCATCCCTAGATGCTAAAGAGAGCAAATGGATAGTACTGTGGCGAGGGTTAGAGAGCAGAGCCAGAAGTAAACTCTGAGCACTGCTGGGCGTGGCTCCAAAAAAACATTAATTAATGATTAATTAATGCGATGGATTTCTGTGTTTTCCACTCCAGGCATCCTAGAGAGCTAGGTATCAGGATGGCCTCAGCTCATGGGGAGTGTACTGGGATTTAAATATTATGCTGGTCTTGGTCTTAACCAAGAACTTTAAGCTACATCTCCCAGCCCTTGTACTGGATGGTCTTCCTCTCCATTACTTGAACTATCTATTCAATGAATAATCTTCTAAAAGCCAATATAATCAATCTCCTCCCCCCACCCCCAGTGCCAGGATCCAACCTACTGCATCACAAGGGCAGGTGCTCTCATGCTCCAACCCATGCCTAATTCCTTTTCTGTTAAATGTTTTGTCCCTCACTGTGGCTCACTCATCTTACACTGAACTGAACCTTTGAAATTTCTTTTCCAGGTTGCTTTCCCAATTTTTTTTTTGGGTGTTACACCCAGCTGTGCTCAAGGCTGACTCTGTGTTCAGGGATTACTCCTGGTAGGCTGGGGTGCTGGGGACCAAATCTTGGTCAGCTGCCTACAAGGCAAGCACCTTACCCACTGTACTATTTCTCTGGTCCCTTCTTCTCCAATTTTCGAGTTATTCCAGTTACCTTGGCAACATTAAACTGTGGCTTTGCCAATCAAAGACATGAGATGCTGATAAGCATATTATTCCTCTAATTCACAGCAAGATTACTGAAACAGTGAGCAGAGAAGCCACAGTTATCGACCAATAGGAATTTGAATTACCCTTCAACAGTAGATTACTTTTGCCAAATGTTGAGTCACTGGGGTCTCTGGCTAAGAGGTCAGAGTACTGTACTTTTTCATGGGTCAGAACCATTTGTGTTGTACTGTTCAAGCTGAGCTGATGGTGTTTCCTCTACAAAGGTTAACTGTACCATAGGAGTGCCTGTGTCGTAGACAAAGCTATAAGATAGCCCAGGAGTCCTCAGAATACTTCTGAGGTGGACTTTTCTAGGACCTAATAAGCAACTGGCCTGGAACAGCAGCTTAATCTCTTATCAGTAAGCATGCTACTTCAAAGTACTGGCATTTTCCCAGGACATCTCCTAGGGTGTCAAAATTTAACCTGCTGCCAAAGCAAGCAGAACACCAAACTCCAAATGAACACACAGTTCTTACTTTCTCAAAAAGAAAAAAACACAACCATATTTATTTAGTTTAACATTCCCCCTTGTCTAAAGAGAAAGATGTTAAAAGAAAACAGAACATATACACAGTTTTAGATGACCTAAAAGAAAAAAATACGAGCAAAGTTTGGTTCAACAGATAAATTTATCTTCGCTTCTGGAAGATGTTTCCACGTCCCATTCCACGTCCTCTTCCTCTTGCAGCCACTAAGGGGGAAAAGAGAAAGAACAAGGTCAGTTCTGTAAGTTCCCGTGACAGAGCAGCCAGAGCTTGCAGTGCAGTGCAGTGCAGGAAGGAGCCTGAAAGGCCATCTGGTTCAAACTATGCCTGCCCCCACCCCATTTACAGGGGAAAACAAGAGAGAGCAGAGAGGGCTAGCACAGTGACTTGTAAGCATCAGGGCAGGCACAGACTCCGGTCACTTGTACACCAGAGCAGCACTGCTTTGAAAAAGGCAGGACTGCTTAAAATGAAGGGATTTGGTAAGAAAAGTTTGAGAACCACAGGAAAAAATATTAGAGCTGGCCTAGGGCAAGCTAATGAAACATGACAGAAGATTTTAATTCACTTAAACCTCTGAACAAATACAGTTAAACATTAACATCTGTTATATCTGAGTGAGGAGCTTATTATTTCTTTTGTCTTGGTTTCTGCGCCAGATCCAGTGGTGCTGGTGGCTATTCCTGGCTCAGTACTTGGGGCTGCTCTCAATCGTGCTAGGAGACCATGCAGTTCAGGGCCGGGTCTCCCTATGCAAAACATGTGCTCTAGCCCCAAGTTAGCCTATCTTTATCTGATGATAAAACCAATCCAGGTTCTATCATTTTTTTGTAAGGTATAACATGACTGAAATAATAAAAATAATAATAATAATAATAATAAAAAAACTCACTCGACAATAAACTACCAAATCAAAACTACTTCTATCACCCAAAGCTTCTAGGAGACCAGCTACTTTGAATAACAAGTGACAATATTCTCAGAGCCTCTAACTGGAGTCTTGCAGACTCTCTTCTCTTACAGAACCTGGAGAGACTGAAGAATGAGGAGTCAATGACGATCCAGCCACACGGTACAGGACAGACGGCTTGGGAAGAAATCAGTAAGCCTGGGCAGACTTTCAGCAAGAAATACAACGACTGTGTTTCTTTCACCTTTTGCACAGAGGGTAAAGTGACACGGACAAACCCTTTTTGTGAAAGAAGAGAGTAGCAGACCCAACATGAAACCAAGAAATTCTGAAAACTTTTAATCTCCTCATTACTACATCTTGTCTAAAAGACAAAACAATTCTCCACTCAATTTTTTAATTTTTGGGGGTGAGGGGACCAGGGAAGGAAAGAGGTTGGGCCATACTAGGTGGTGCTCAGGAGTCATTCTTGGTGATGCTGGAAATTATCTGGGGTTGTCCACTTGCAAAGCAAGCACCTTAACTCCCTGTCTGACCTGAAGGCACTTTATTTTTTTTATTATTTTAATTTTTGGGCCACTGTGTCTGGTGGCTCAGGGGCTACAACCGGTGGCACTCAAGGGATGTGTGTGGTGCTAGGATTCAAATCAGGGTCATAGCCCCAGCCACAGGCTGGGCAAGCACCTTAACCTTTGTACTACCTCTCTTGCATCCCCTTTGCCCTGGGCATTTTAAAGGATCACTTAGTACTACCTTTAAACTCATACTATTTCATGTATAAAGTATTTACAGCAGTTAAGTGTTAAATACAGATGTCAATGACTTTACCACACTGCTTAACATTTTACTAATAGAAGACAGATTTTTGGGGGTGGGACGAGGGGAAGGCACACCCGCCAGCGTTCAGGGCTTGCTCCTGGCTCTACATTCAGGAGACCAAATGTGGTGCTGGGATAATAAAGTGAATTTAAATAAAGACAAGGCCAATCAACTTAAACCTTCCATGGATCCAAATATTAAAATATAATCTGAGTAGGCTAACCACATGGTAAAACTATGTCACTAGGAAAAGACTAGAATCTGTATACACTTTCAGAATTTGCTAAATGAAGGATAACTTTGAAAACAGAAATCCTACCCGCTTGAATGGGTCAAGATGATTCAAAACTGGTTGTTCTGATCTGAAAATGGGTTCCTACCATCAGCAACTGTTTATGCTGAGTGACAATGCGCACTCTTGGACCTTCGGGGAACCAAGTGAGAGAGCACTGAAACTAAGCTGACATGACTTCTGATCATCACCACCACGGCAACAGTTAACAAAGGCAAAGAGGTGGGGGGATGGGGTGGGAATGCAGGACTCCAGATCTGAGCCAGTTAACCTGGATCCAGAGCTTGAGCTCTGTTAACCTGCCTCCTGCTAGCATGTGAAAAGCTCAGTGGGGGTGAACTCTACTTGAAATAGCTTTGACACCTTGTCCAAACTGTGTCCTGTCTACCTGCCTGGTACACAGAACACATTTGACACTACACTTTTCTGCCCATCACTTCAGGAATCATTTCATCATACTAAGGTGCCCTGCTCAGAAAACTATACAAACTGCAGTTAAGCCTCCTCAGACCCTCCTGGACAGAATTTCGAGGTGTCTTAGGGCATCATTATAGAAAGCAGGCCAAGGCACCCTGCCTCTAGGATTGCTGGGAAAGAGTTGTGCGCAGTGGGTGGAGAAAGAGGGATGAAATCAGGAAACAAAAGGGACCTGTCATAAAATTAAAAGTCAATCTTAAAATCTGTGCACTTTAAACTAAGGAGTACCTACCTTGGGCCTTCAGAATAGCAGCTTTTCCCCGGCCAGCCCCCGAGCCTTGGTTTTTATTTTTCATGCTCTTTAACATAGGTGCGTTTTTCAGCATGTCAGGCAAAATTAAAAAACGGATCTTGCTGCCACGAATGTACACCTGCTCCAGTTGTGCCACACGACCATCTCTGTATGTGACAGTGATGTTGGACATCTGGAAGGGAATCATCAATTCATCAGTTCTTCAGTAAGGGCCAAGAGAGAATAGGGGCAAAGAGGGGAGAGTTCAGAAATCCAGAAATTAACATGGTGAATTAAAGAAGACAGGCAATGTTGGAGGGGTGGGGGATCATTACAATGCTTTCTGCTTTCTCTGTGCACCAATGTTTGTGCCAAACACCCACACAGATATTTATCAAAGCACCTCATACTTACCAAAGGGTAAGTACATGCTTTCCCAATTTTTATTATATTTTTGGTGGGAGGAGGGATGTTTGGGTCATACTTCTGCACCCAGAGGCTACTCAGATTCTTGCTCAGGGGGTCCTGTTTCAGCAGAAACTTTCCCAGCTTTACATAAAACACTCCCACACTGGCCCAAGGTCAAACGGCCAAATACCAGGGACTCCCAAGAGCTTAGGGAAGACCAGTGGCAGAGCATCTGTTCTGCAACGAGGCCGCAAGTTTAACTCCCAACACAGCCCCACAAATTTAATGCAATCCCATGGGCACTATGGTTTGTGATCCCCAGTGCCGTAACGAAAGTGTGATTTCCTTGCAACCAAGTGTGTCACCGAGGCAGCATTAACAGCATTAGCTACAACAACATGGAAGGAAAAGAGGAGGAGAAAATGCAGAGACCACGGATTTGAACCTTGCTAGCTTGGTCCTAGAGCTCTGAGACTGCAAGCATATGAAGGGCTTTCAGGGCTGATAAACTTTATTGGAAACAGCTTTGGATGCTTTGTACAAATTCTCATCTCCTGCATCTGCCTGCCACACAAACTGGAAAGGTTCTGTGAGGTTTATGAGCACAAGTCCTATCCTCCCAGAGAAAATTCAGGCCTCCCACACAGCACACTTGCACTCTCCATGTTGAAGATAAGAGTTCCTCTGGCTAATGTAAGTAGAATTGGAGAAGGGGAGGGAGTGGAGTTTGTACAGAGGGCCCAGAATACTGAAAGAAGCTTACACAGGAAGACGGGACATTCTGGCAGGAACCTACAGGATCTAAGGAGTGAAGCAGTGGAACTGGAATTGAGGATAGGATCAGCACCTCAGTGTGTTCAGGTTTGTGTACAGAGAAAGGGCACATAGGATTCAAATAGCACACTGGAAAGATGACTGTGCCAACACAAACTTTGGGACAGAGAGAAAGGGAGCCTACAGGCTAGACCAGTCAGAAGTTCCGTGTAAACCTATCCGTGACACTCTTAACCAGAAATAAAATGCTCATTCCAAGAGTCTTGGGACAGAAGAGGATAGGTAAAATGTGTCAAGTTCCATCCATCGCCCCTGTGCAAAAAGACTAATGATGCCCTAAGGACCATTCTGGCTACATCTGTGCCTGCACAGGTGGAGTGGTTTCTAGGGCATCTACCTAGTCTCTTCCCACCATCAGTTACAGCAGATTGTTTCCCACATACCTGTCCAGGTTTAAGGCCACCAGGTGTGGTCCCCAAAACTAATCAAACCTTGTCTTGACTCAATGTTGTTAGTTTCTTAACACATTTCCATACAAGTTTCTATTTATATTTATTTCTGGGGGGGAGGGGGGAGGATGCAGACCTGGCTGGCGGTGCTTAGGGCTTACTCAGGGATCACTCCTGCCTTGGGGAACCATATTTGGGGGAGGGGGCGCACCCAGGGATCTAACCTACAAGGCAAGTGCCCGACCCACTGTACCAACTCTTAGGCCCTGACAGGTTCTAGTTCTTTACCATCTTGTTCTTTCCTTGAAGAAGGCAACCTCTGGTGCCACTGATGAATTGGTTTACTACTCTAGAGAGAACCAGTCTGACCCAGGTTGGCATACTAAAGTCCACTCTAGCAGACACAAAAGGCCTGAAAATCTCCTCTATTTAAGGCTCAGACTTGTCGTTTGTCAGGGGTATAATTTCTGGTTAAGACTCCAGGCTCCCTTGAGCCTCCTCCCCTTACTGATCAACAGAAGGAAACGCCAGTTTTTATTTTATGAACACTTACTAGAAGTTAGGCACTGTTTCAGGGACAGGGACATGACTCACTTTACATCATATAATCCTACAAAAAGGGTGTTTTCACCATCCCATAGGAGCATAACCAAGAGGCAGACTTGTCACAGAGGCAAAACCATTACCCTTTCTCCATTTTTCCTGTCCAAAATCATAATGTCTTTATGAGGCTTAGCTGGGGTTCAAATCCAGGTGTATCTGATTCAAAACCACACTTTTTGGGCTGTGTGTGGGGAGGGATTCACCTGGCAGTGCTCAAGAGACCGCGCAGCATTGGAGATCAAATTCGGGCTCCCATATACAAAGCATGAACTCCAGCCATTTGGGCAATCTCCTTGATCCTTGAGGATCCTTGATCCTCTTTGTTTGATTTTGGGCCATACCTGGCCATTGTCAGAGCTTACTCCTGGCGGTGGTTTCAGGGATGGAACCTGGGTCAGCTGCATTCAAGGAAAGTCTTACTCACGGTGTTATTTTTCCGTGTGTGTGTGTGTGTGTGTGTGTGTGTGTTGATTTGTCTTTGGGCGACACCCAGTGATGTTCAGGCGTTACTCCTGGCTTTGCACTCAGGAATGACTCCTGATTGGTGGCTTGTTGGAAGGCAGGAATTGAACCCAGGTTGGTCATGTGCAAGGCAAGTGCCCTACCTAGTATAGTATCACTCCGACCCCTTAACCCAAACTCTTAATCACACACCATACCAACTCTTACTAACTGCTGTTCTTACTGCCAACACATAATAGTTCAGTAAAAGAATGGAGTCTTGAGCTGGAGAAAGTACGGGAGCTTGCTTTACACACAGCTAATCCAGGTTTGATCCCCAATACTACATATGGCCCACTCCAGCACCAGGAGTGGCACCAAAACCAAAACCAGAAAGAAAAAAGGAAAATCTAAAACAGTGTTTCTGGCGCATTTGCCTCCTGAGCCCGTGTGCTGCTTGAGCCCACGTGGCTGAGCACATGTGTCGCCCGCATCTCCCCTCTTGAGATGTGTACTTTTGTGCTTTCCTCTCTAATGCTGGGATGTATGTAAGGGCTCTCTCCACCCTTGGCGAAGCCCGTGTTCTCTCTTGAGAAAGTCACTCTGTCTCTCTTACCCTCCACTCTCTCTTCTATTTCCCTTCAAAAATCCTCCAAATAAAATCTGTTTTACTTCCAAACAAACAAACACAGTGTTTCCCCAAATGAGTGATATTGCTCTCTGGAGCACTGAAATGATCCAGCAGGTAGGCAGAAGCCTCTGGAACTGAGGAGTTCTGAGCAATTTATTCTCTGAAAAAGGGGTGATAAGCTAAATGGTAAAAATGTTTGAGGTGCTGTGCTACCTAACTCCTACCAAACTGTACTTTCCCATCCTGCTTGGAGAATCCCTGTCAAAGGTTATATAAGACCAACAAGACTTTAAATTTTTCACAAATGGTAACTGTTTTGGCTGAAGCAGGCACATCATCTGACTCCTATTACAACTCAGGTCTGCTATTGCTTTTCAAGCTCCCCCTGCAGCATCAGAGAACAGCTGCCTTGTGTACACAAAGCTCCACAGTCCCACTGCCTACCCTCGGTGCTTGTTAATAAGTCAGAACTGTGCTTGCATCATAAGTGGCAATTTGATGGATTAGGTTTTTTCAAAGTTAGAAAGGAATGCCCTGTTTATTCAATTTTGCGAAATACTCACAATGAAACACAGATGGCATGAGCCTGGAACCCAACTAAAACGACATCTTGGGGGAGAAAAAAAATCTTAGCAGTCAGAATTAAGAATTTCTCACACATCTGGGGAGAGACAGTGCTAGCTTCCAGATTATAAAACAGTGCTATGGATAGACAATCACAACTTCCCTATTTCGGACATGCATTACTACCCACTGGTAGTGTGACTCATTTTTTGGATTCATTCTACTCACTTCCCTTCAGATACTTGACAGAGTTGAGGGATTTAAGTTCAGCATCATAAACCTAACAGATTTATTTGGAGTCAAAAATTTGGATCCGGTGCAACTTTCTTTGAGCTTGGCACCTGAAAATTTGTCCTGCAGGGTTATAACATGACTAAAGACTATTCTTTGCCAAACACAGAATAAGCATGTAATAAAACAAGTTATTACTAAATACTATTAAGAATAGGTAGCAGCTTAAAAGGCTGGAGGGCATGTTTAGTGGGGACAGGGCATCGAGTTCAACACCTAGCATGGTATGGCCTCCTGACCACCAAGTGTAATAGACCTACTTGGGGAGGCCTTCCCCACGCCTGAAAAGAAAAAACAACAACAAAACAAAAATACCCAACCAATAATAACAACAATAACAAAATTAGCCAATTCTAGACCTGGGTTAGGAAAAGTAAAAGAGTTTTCTAAACAGGGTCCAGAGATATTGATAGTATAGCAAGTAGGATGCTTGCCTTACATGTGGCTGATCTGGGTTTGATCCCATGAACCCCATATGATCCCCCCAAGCACATCAGGAGTGATCCTTGAGTGCAGAACCATGCGGAAGCCCTACACAGCTGAGTGTGGCCCAAAAGCCAGAAAGATTTTTGTAAACATTTTGTTCCAGAGATGAGAATTAACCCTAAATCGCTAGGATATACCAAAAGGACATTATTCAGCTTGAAGGAATTCTTACTCTCCTAATCTAGATGATTTTAAATATTAAAAAAAACAAGATTATATCTCACTTAATAATACATAAACCCAGAGGTCCACATTGATAATTAACAATTCAATATATGACACAATACAAATGACTGGGGAAAAAAATCGTTCTTTGGGCTAGGGAATTAGGGCCCTCCCGTTGATCATCGATTTGCTCGAGCGGGCCCAGTAACGTCTCCATTGGAGACTTTGTTGTTACTGTGTCTGGCATATCGAATACTCTCGGTAGCTTGCCGGGCTCTCCGAGAGGGGCGGAGGAATCGAACTCGGGTCACCATGTTGGCCGTGTGCAAGGCAAATACCCTACCCGTTGTGCTATCGCTCCAGGGAATTAGGGCAAAGGGA